ATTGAAATAGGCAAGTGGCCAGACGGTGTAGAAGATACTGTGGGCTGCTGGGTTTCCAGGACAAGTCATTCCCTCCCTCTCCTGTAAAGCGACAGGGAACATACTCTCCCTTGCCGTGGACGGTGAGGTTTGAGGATGGTCCCAGGCAAGCTGCTGGCACAGAACACCCCTTCACGCCCCCTCCTGTCACTGCACCCCTTCCCAGGACCACCTCAGGGGTGGCAGCCCAGCCTGCATCTCCCTTCCATGTTGTTGATGGAATCCCCTCCCCTTTCCCTTCACACTGTCTCACCTGCTTCTTTATCTCACCTGGGAAAGAGGGAACTGGAGGCTACAGAGGCCCCACGGGCTGCATTTTCTTTAAGCTCTGTTTACCCGCCCCATTTACATGGGGCACAGGGGACCCTGTAAAGGATTCCTGATACTGAGTGTGATGAGGTTGTGAGGAAGAGGGTGGCGCTGGTGGGACTGTAACGCTTTGGGGTGGGGAGAGGGACTGGATAAATCCAGCCCATTTAGGAGTGCACATACTCTTAGAGCTAACTACTCCACTTTTAGGAAAGGACCCTAAGTAATACATGAGCAAGGATGCTGACTGCGGCATTCTCATCCATCCTGACAGGCGATGGGAGCTCTTGCAGCTGTCAGAGGAATGACAGCCCTGACTTACCAACAGGCACAGAGGTGTCTGTTTAAAAAGCAAGTCTCAAAATAGTACGTGGAGCAAACTCAAGATTTTTTTAAATAATAAAAACAACATTTTATAAGGATATTTTAGTTTTATAATTAAACTTTTTTTTGTCATTAGAGAGAGAGGGAGAAGGCGAGAGAGAGAAACATTGATTAGTTGCTTCCTATACCGGCAACTAGGTATGTTCCCTGATCAGGAACCCTTTGGGGTATGGGACAACGTTCCAATCAACTGAGCCACTGGGCCAGAGCTGTAATTAAACTTTTTTAAAAATTAGTAATTAATAAATGAAGTTCTCATGGCCCAAGCATCAGCTTGCCAACTGCCCCTCTCCCTCCTCGCCCCCTCCCTTCCACGCCATCTTGTCTGCTCCTCCTACCATTTGCTATCTTTGGACCTCAGACTCCTGAGCTGTCTGTAAGACTCCAGAGCCCCTCTAAACAACGCGCACTAATCCCTCCCTAATCCTGGCTCCCCAGCAGCTCAGACCAGCAGCTGCCTGCTCCTATGGGAGGTGGGCAGGAGTCCCCTTGGTTTATACCCATCGTAAAAAGAGAAGCAGCTGTGGCGCTATGGATGCTCAGAACTCCAGGACATGTCCGCCTCTAAAGAGGGGGCCTGGCCTCTCCCCAGAGAGCGTAGTTCTTCCTCCCCTTCCCGGACACGTCCTTTGCACTCAAAGCACTTCCAAAGAATTGGGTGGGACTCCGGAGAGGGCGTTGTCCACAGGTGAGAACAATGCCTCCAGGCCACGCCTTTCCACCTGCTTCTTTGCAAGTGCGGTCTCTGAACAATGGCAGAAGCTGAACGCTCCCTTCCCTCTGTTAACTGTGCAATAAAGGAATCCCATCAGGCCAGCCACGGCCTCCATCAGCGCTTCTCCGAGGGAGGGCCCTTTGGAATCACCGCGGAGATTTGCAAGCTACTAACACCTGGGTCCTACCTCAGACATTCTTTTTCTTTTTTTTAAGTATCAAATTTTTATTTTTTAATATATATTTTTATTGATTTCAGAGAGGAAGAGAGGGGGAGAGAGATAGAAACATCAATGATGAGAGAGAATCATTGATTGGCTGCCTCCTGCACCTCCCCTATTGGGGATTGAGCCTGCAACCCCGGGCATGTGCCCTTGACTGGAATCGAACCCGGGACCCTTTGGTCCACAGGCCAACACTCTATCCACTGAGCCAAACCAGCCAGGGCCCAGACATTCTTTTTCATTTAAACTGGGGAGGGGCATCCTGAGCACTGGGATTTTGTATTCCCTACCTCTTCCCGAGGTACACCCCTGGTTAAGAACCACTAGTCGATGTGATATGATGTAATGTGTGTAGACATGCTCTGTGCATACGTAACCCATGCATGGAAGCCTATGCACACACATACAACATGCAAAGCTGGATTTCTCAACACACAAAGTAACACTCACTGCTAAGGTCACCAGCAAAGCAAGACACCAAAAAAAAAAGTGAGAAAAACATTTTTTTTAGAATGTGATATTTAAAAAATGAAAAGGTTATCAAGGGGAAAATCAGAATCTTTATTGGGCTGCTCTACTTATTTTCGTTGTGTTTTTCCTCATATTGCATGTGGGGAGAAGAAGCTCCACAAACCTTTCAAGGCTGGGCCCTAATCCAGCCCCCACATCCATAAAGAGAGCTTTCGCCCCGTCTCACGCTGTAGGTTTCCTGGGTGAAGCATCCAGTCCCTTGGGATGGGACAAACTGTCACCTGTTCCCCTGGCTGAAAGCCCTCAAGCCGTGAGAGTCCTGGCACTGGGCTGGGGGTGGGAGGGGCCCAAGTCATCCAGGAGCTCCAAGCCCTGCCACTCCCTGCACCCCACTCCGTAAGAATGCTGTGACCAACGGAACTGTGCTCCTATATCTGCAGGTGGCTCAAATATTTGGGGCTCTGTCCCCAAGGCAAGGTATACCCGTGTATGAGATGTACATGTGGGCTTGCCTGAAGTAGAGATTTGGCCAATTTCAAGGTTATTTCTAAATCTAAGTTTGATGATTCAAGTATACAAAGTGAATCCGATGGAAATCTGAAGAACTGATTGGTAGGTTTTCATCTGGGCAATCAAGAAAGGCTTCCTGGAGGGGGTAACATTTGAACTGTGCCTTGAAAGATGAGTAGAATTTAAGAAGGAAAAGAGAGAAAGTATATAGAGATGCCCCATTCTTTTACTCTTCCACATTCTCATCCTTGACCTCAGCAAACCTGGCTCTGTCCCAGGAGCCTTCTGGAGCCTTCAGGGTTCCGCCTCTTACTGCCCTCCCAGAGTGAATATCAGCCCCACATCTGGATGCCCACCTCTGGATCTGCTGGGCTCAGTCCTGTGTTCTCTGACCTGGCTTTGAGGTGCCCAGTCTTCTTCAGACGCCTCTAGACCTACCGCTTAGTGCTTCACAGCCTAAGTGAAAACTGGGGGGGAGTGCCCTCAGGCCTTCCCCGTTGGACAGTGGAGCCAAGATCTCAACCTGGAATTGCCTCAGGAAGCCCTGGACAGCTTTAAAATATCCAGAGGCCAGTACCACTCCACCACGCCTTCAGAATCTGACTATCCCAGCTGGGAGGGCCAGCCAGGACCGAGACCATGGCCAGTGGCCAAAGATAAGGGAGAGAGAACGGAAGACAAGGCAGAAAAAGAAGGGGGCTCCTCGAGACAGCTGCCCAGAAAAAAAGCCCAGAGGCTCTGGAACAGGTGGAGGACAAGGCCCAGCCTAAAAGGGGCTCTATAGGAAACAAATGTTCACGGAGCAGCATTAAATCCTGTCTCTGTTCCCCAGGCTCCTGGGGTGGGGCCAGGGACAACTGTTCACCATCAACGGAGGGAGAAAGACACAAAGGCCCCCAAGGAGGGCCTCCATAGTCAGTGCCTCCATGAGAGCAAAGACTTCATCGCATTTGTTCACAGCTGTCTCCCCAGCGCCTGGCGCACAGTAGGTGCTCAATAAATACCTGTTGAGTGAACTTTGCCAGGCCTTTTCCTCTATCAGGACCATCACGAATTTCTGAGTCTGTGGGTTTCTTGTACAGAGAAGGGGTTAACATGGTGGTGCCAAGGAGAACGTTGGGAAAGGAGGGGAGAAGGATGTTTAGCTTGGGTTCCCTCCCTAGTCTCCACTGACAACATTTCCTCAGGATTTGGGAATTGGATGTAAGAGAGGGGGTGCAGTTAGCTGGACACAGCTGCCCTTCCAAATCGGAGGTTGGAGGAGGGGGGAGAAGAGGAAGAGGAGGAGGGAGTGGGGTAGTAGGCAAACAAGCAGAGAAGAGAGGAGTGTGCTGGGAACATGGAGAGGCTGCCAACCCCAGCTGACTGAAAGGTGCTGGGTGTGTCCAGAGAGAAAGGAGCGAGGCTGGTGAAAGCCCCCACGTGGTCACCGAGCTCCCGGGGTCTTATTCCAGCAGCCACACTCCCGACACGGTGACTTTCAGAGTGGGGTGAGGTATGTGTGGAGAGGACGTAGGAAAGGAAAGGAAGCCTCACTCTCCATTTGAATAGCAGCGGGCAATTTCCCTTCCCAGTGGTGGGGGTCTCCTCGAGGCCTGCTTTAGAGAGCTGGGCAGGCTGGGGCTCCACGCTGTGTGCGAGTGTGCACACCATGCAGATGTGAGCCTGGCTTGGGTGAGCTCCCAGCGCTGACACAGCCTCTGGAGAATGCGTGGTACCTGCAGGCACAGGCCCGGAAGCAGATTCCTGGGGTCGCAGGACAGTGTGTAGTTAGGCTCTGTGTAAGCTCTATTTGTGTGTCCTCAGCCGGGAGCACAACCTGCCAGGCCTCCTGGCCAGGAGTTCATTTTAAAGCCACCTTGAATGGAGCACAGTCGCCTCTCCATTCAGGTTACTTGAGCCCACTCCCCACCACACCTGAAGGAAGGGCCTTGGACCCCTAGGAATTGCAGGCTGGGGTGCTGCCCTTGACATTTCTCCCACCTGGAACCCCAGTCCTGTCTGGCACTGGGATGTGTTTTGAAGTCACATGCAGCCCTGCTCACATGTGAAATCTTGGTTGCAGGTCTGGATGTATCTGGTACGCTAGGTGAGCTCAGAGCTGGCCCTGGAGCAGTGAGGAGGGGAGGGGACAGGCCAGAGGCAGGGCAGTGCTGGCTGCAGGCAGCCCTGGGCTGGGCCTGGAGCCCTCCAGGCGGCCAGTGGCCAGGCTGCAATTAACCCCCACCTGCCCAGGGCCAGATTCTGCCCGCCATGAATACCTCCCACCCGCTTCCACCAGCTACCACACCTCCTCCCCAGGAGTGGATGTAGGAGAGGGAACAGGTGAAGGGCATCACTCAGCAGGTTCTCTTCCTGCTGATTCTTCTAACCCTTTGCTTACCACACCACATACCCCCGAGGACAAGCTGGGACCGAGACGAGGCTTCCAAGCAGCCATGGTCGTTGCCTCATTGCTGGACAGCCCCCATCTCAACCCACCTCCCCCACCCCTGTAGTAGGAGGTTGTACTGCCAGTCACATTACCGCATGTTTCAGTGCCCAGCCCAGGGCCTGCCTGGGCACTCTCTGCTGGAGATGTATTAAGAAGAATGGCCCCTGTGAACCCCTCCAGCTCCTCCATCTCTTCCAATCTTTTGCTGAAGATTCAGACTCAGGAGGTTTGAGTGAGGCCTGAAGTCACTGAAAGCATCTGGGTGGGTTTGGCTGGCTCCATCCAGCCCCACGGTGAGCTGCTGTTGTCTCAGGGCTGTCTCTGAGGTGTGTGCATTCCAGAGAGAGCAGGGATAGCCGAGAGTGGAATTTCAGGTAGTGGAGAGCTGTGGTATAAAGCTGCACTCAAGAAGTTCAAATTCCCAATCTTGACCTTGGGCAAATTGCTTAAGCTCCTTGGGCCTCAGTGTGCTCATCTGTAAGATGGGATGATAAAGGTCAGTGTGCTCTTTTCTATAGAAGGCACCATGGCAGGGCCCAGGGCTAGTAGACAGAGCTGGGGGAGCGGGGGTTAGGGCCAATGCCCGGGATTAAGCCCCTGACCCAGACCTCTGTGTGGCCCTCCCAGAAGGGGACAGGAAGTCCAGGCCTACCGAATGGGAATATGGCAAAGAATGAGCAGAGTGTGTGTGGCCCCTGGAGGCCAGTTCTGCAGCAGCAGCCCCTGTCCTGTGCCCTCTCTTGGATCATATTTGTGCTGCCCTAATTTCTAAGAATTTAGACATGCCTTCAGGGACCAAGCTCCTCATGGGAATAAAAAGTCAATTCAATTCCCCACGAAAACCATTTGTCCACTGAAACACTTGGCACAGATGTTGAATTCCAACAAATCCAGGTTTAAATCTCCATTTCACCACCTACTGGTAGAACAACATGGAACAAACCTTAGAACCTCAGCTTCTCCATCTGTAAAGTAGGGAGAGTCGTCTCTGCTTTGCACCTGATGAAAAGACTAAATTAACTCAAGCATCCTTTCAACAAACTTTTATTGAGCACCTACGATGTGCCAGGCAGTGGTGATACAGCTATGAATACAAGAGAGGCAGACAAGGACATATGCTAGCGGGGCCTTCAGACAGATATTAACCAACAGTGACTCCAATGTCTGCTACCGACTGTATGAGTGTTATGTAGGAAAAGTGCTCATGAGGTAGTCTTGTGAGTTTTGAAGGATAACTAGGTGTGATCTATTTCAATGACTCTAAAACACTATTGATTGTCAACACAATTGTTTTAGGTCACACCCGAGAAAGAAAACTCCTTCAAGACTCGGAGCCTTCTTACCCTTAGAGGTGTTATTTTGTGCTTACTCAAAGCTCTTTTCAACTTTCCATCAACCCCAGAGGAGTTTCCTATCTCCTGCCCAACTTAAAACAAAGAAAGGTCTGTAATGGCAGAGATCAGAATAGGGTGAAACCCAAGAGAAATCCACCTTACCCTGCAGCAAGCTTGCCTGGTGTGAAACCCCTGAGTGGGTAGCAGACAGTCTCCCAGGTTCTGGTTCCTCGGAAAGGGGAGACAGGACAAGTAGGCCACGTGGACAGGGCAGAGAGGAGGGCAAGAACGGTGGAGCAGGGGTCCTGGCCACGTGCCCATTGCTGGGCTCTGATTCTCGTTGAACGGAAGAGTGGCCAGGAGGAGGAGTCAGATGCCAACCTGGGGCGTTGTTAGACACCACAGTGTGTAAAATGCAGCCTGTCGTCAAAGATTTAAAAGACGCATCTTACCCAGAAGCACAGAGCACCCTCGTTTCTAGATCTTGGTTTTTAAATACCATTCTTCGCTAAAAGGAACACGGGCACTTTGGGGGAACAGTCAATGCCAGGGCTGCCTCAGAAAAGTACAGATGAGCCTGGAACAGTTTATTGTGCCAGAAAGTGACGATGTGCTAAAAATATATATAAATAAATAATAGGGAGTTGTCAATAGGAATGAGAGCCAGATTCAATGGGTTTCTACTACTGGGCAATTCTGGCATAACTTGAGCACTGAAATAAATGAGAGTCAGAGATTATAACCCTAAGAATAAAAGAATCATCTATGAGTCCATCTGATAGAAATAAACACACAAATAATCAAATTAATGGGGAAGAAAAGAACACTCGGCCCTAACAAAGGGATGCCAAGGAACAAATGTAGGAACAAATGATGGAATTGGAAACCCCTCATCTGCCCACCACTGTAATATTGTTTTAGGCAAGAATCATAACTAGGGGCTACCAGTGGGTGATAAGAAACAAGATATTTACATAGTACACTGAGCAGAAAATTCTTCTTTTGCTACTAAGGCATTAGTAGAACAACTGGAGATGGCTCTAGTACCTGGTACACCGGTACCAAAGTCAATATAGTAAAAAGCTAACATTTGGAAAACCTGAGTGACGGGAATATGGGAATTATTGGTCCTGTTTTTTGCAACGTCTATTAGTCTGAAATTATTTCAGAGTAACAAGTTGGCTTTTTAAAGCGTGTATCTTAAAATTAATAAAATACAATAAATGATCTGGGGAAAGATGTACATGAGCATACCAGGTAGAAACACCTGTGTGGGCGAAAGCCCCGAGGCTGGCCAATCATGTTTTTTTGAAAACCAAAACCATAGAAAGCCTGAGTGTTGGGGGCAGAGTGTCTGGGAGCACAGTGAGTCAGCTGAGAGGTGGGCAGGGGCCAGGCCCGAGTGAGGGTTTGGGTCCTGTGATGACAGCAGGGAGGAGCCATCAACATGCTTTAAGCCGCGGGTGTGGGGAATGTGGCCTTATTTGTGTTTATCACTCTGGCCCCTGGCTGACCCTCAATAAACAGTGGCCATTAATAATGCCTTGTCTGCTCCACTCTCTGCTGTCGCCTCCCCTAGGGACCTTTTTGCTCTATGGAGTTGACAGCAGGTGGCCTCATACCCACAGGCTGCCAGGTTGACCTCTAGCACATCCAAGCCCAGTCCCATCTTCTCCTCACCCCACTCAGCCCGGATCTCTGTGCACACCTTCTCCACCAGCTTCCTTCTGTCTGTCTTTGTTTCTACTCTAGGAGCCCAAGAGCTCAAAGGAGGCTGGAGAGGTTTGAGTACAAGTGAATAAATGGGCTGTTTGAGGGATCTCCCAGGGCAACTCCAGGCTTGGTACAGTTTGAGTGGCTGTGGGCTTCCTTTTTTCCAGATGAATCACTGCTCTGTGTGTGTGTGACCGTGTGTGCCTTCCCCCTGATGTGCTTGGGGCCCTGAGGTGAGAGAGGGCTGGCTGTGTGCGCCAAGCAACTCCTCCTGTAACCAGCACTCCCTGCAGCGCACTCTGAGCCAAGTACCTGCTGGTGTTGCTGTGCTTCCTCAGCCAACCCTTACAACAGCCCTGTGAGGAACACACCACTGTGTCCATTTTGCAGAAGAGCGAACTGAGGCCTGAAAGGTTTGTTAGTGTGTTCAAATTCACACAACTGGCCCCAAGATTCAACCCAGGCCCTCCGACCCTGAAGCTTACACTTCTGCCCCCAGAGCCACCCTGCGACTTCTGATGGCCCATGGACATCAGCGTTATGGGAATCCAGGACATGTGGCTGGGTGAACCAAGTGTAACTGAGGACCCAGGAAGGGGTTAATTGAGATGCCCTCAGCAAGCTCTGGTTTGGTGAGGCTAGTTGCCATGGCGACAACATGGTTTGGGGAGAGGGAGGCCAGCACAGCAGGATCTTCTGAATCACTGGACATGTAGCCCATAAGTTTATTCTGTGGTGAACTCCTTCCAGCATCCTCAGGGACTGCACATGACCACCGGGACTGACTGTGCAGGACAAGGGTGAGGGCAAGGGTTCCCTGTGTGCGCCCTGGCCCTGCTGCAAAGCCTTACCGGGCGGGTGCTCTCCCTGGCACTGCCCTGGGAGTCCTGCCCACCAGGAACACCCAGAGCCTCTCCTCTCAGCTCCCAGATCCCCGGGCGAGGTGGAAACCAGGAAAGAACACAGATTTGGGGCCAGAAGTCCATTGATCATTTATTTATTCATTCTTTACTAGATATTTATTGCTTGCCCATGATGCACCAGTCACTGCGCTAGGTGCTGTGACCTGGGGTGATAGCCGGAAGCCAGCAGGCTCTGCACTCATGCAGCTGCCCTTCCAGGGGGCAGAAAGTTCCCACCAAATGCTTTCTGTGTCACCATGGGCAAGTCTCTTTTCCTTTCTGAGCTCATCTGCAGAATGGGGCCCATAAAGCCCACATTGCTGGGATGCTGTGTGGATGAGACAATATACTGAAGCATATACCTGTATGCACAGCACATAGTAGGGCTAACTGTGCAGTTGACGTAACTGCCTGTAGGCTGCTTACCTTTCCCTCCAACCTCGAAAGGAGTCAGGTGATGATATAAGTCACAAATGAGGAGCCCTAGGCTCTGGGCCCTGGGGGCCCTGTGAGGCAAAATCTCAATACTGACCCAGTTAGAGAGACAGGCTCCTCCATCACTGGGCAGTGCCCTTGGCTTCAGTTTGCCCATTTGTAATGGGGGATCGGGTAGAGGAGGGAATGTACCCGAGCTGATGGGCAGCACCACAGTGGACACTTGACCATTCCATTCCACTGCCTGACCCACCCCCAGGACAGCCCAGGACTACTTCCCCAGGCATAATAAGCCTCCAGCCCAACTAGTTTTTTGCCTAAATATGGACCACAGCAGCTATCTGTTGATTTGACTCGCTTGATTTTTTTAAGTGGGGCTACCTTAGCCAAGGAAAATGCCCCCTCCCAGTGCCCATCTCAGACTTTGCCCTGTTTGCTTCCTACTTACCCCCCTCCCCCGTCAGCCCCAAGCTAGTATACTTGCACAATACAAAGCAAGAACCTGACTCTGTGACCCTCCCCACCATGGAAGGAACCCTGAAACCCTCAAGGTCAGCCCTGGGACCAACCTCTGTAGCCTCAGCACATGGCAGGCCTGGCAGGCACCAGCAGCTCAGCTAGGCTGCGTACAGATAAAAGCAACATGCAGATCCAACCCACATTTAGGGAACCAGCAAAGGAGGAGGAAAAAATGTGAGAGTTTCATATCTGATATTTCAAAAAATACAAAACTTCAAAGTAGTCACCACAGGGGGGAAAAACATATTGAAGGACTTCCTCACATTTACTTTGTGAATTAGTATTGATTTTATTTGCACTGCTCACGGGGGTGGAGATGGCCTCACCTTTTCAGAGCTTAGTGCCCCTAGAAGTCTTAATCAAGGCCTGGGAAATGGAAGTGGGGTGCACATTCTGTGGGCTCCTCTCACATCCATCCCTGGAGGATAGAGAGGGAAGGTGTTTTCCTCTTGCTTCAGTCTGACACCACAGGAGGCCAGATTAAGCTTGGTTGGAGGTGGTGCTAATGAGTTTTCCAGGGTTCTCTTCTCTGTCCAATCTCGAATTGCCTTCACCTCGGCTGGGTGTCAGGGTACATATTTATACCAGGACACGGCTTACAGAGCAGCTCCTGGCTGTCAGCTGTTGGTGACATTCTTTGTAGAAGGTCAGTGGGCTGGGAGGAGGCTGGGGTGGGGACCTACGAGTTCGGCAGAGAGGAAGAAACTCCCAGCCAGGCTGGCCCCTGAGCTGGAAATCTTTAACCAAGGATCCAGCCAAACCACGGGAGAAAAGGACAAGTGGACAGACATGCCTCGCAAACACATCCCCTGTGAGGAGGTCAGAAGACACTGGATGGCAGAAGGAAAGGATGCGGATGAGGAGAGAAGAGGAAGAAGCCCAGTGAGAATGAGGATTTCTTTTCTTTCTTGATTTCCTTTTTAATAGGTGTCACTTTTTAGATCATTTTCAGGTTCACAGCAAAATTGAACAGGAAGTACACAGGTTTCCTACATACTGCTACCCCACCCCCACACACACAGCCTCCCCCACTGTCAATATCCCCACCGGAGTGGTGCATCTGTAACACTGACACATCATTATCACCCAAAGTCTA